TTTTTGGTTTGGGGCGCGCTCTCCCTTGTCCGCGATACCACCGCGAGCAAGCTCTCTCCTCGCACTCTCGGCTGCGTCTTCCTTGGCTTCCCCACCGACGCCTCGCCGTGGCAGTTTGACCACCCTGCCTTGCGTCAAGTTCTGTCCTCCCAGGACGTCACCTTTGACGAGTCGATCTGCTTCTGCCGGCTCACTCGCACGCACTCCACCCGATCCCCCCGCCGCCCCTTTTCCTGGTACCAGTCCCCCCCCCGGTAGACCCCCTCCCCCCACAGGGTCCTGCTCCCTCAGGTGTGTCTCAGGTAGTCCCACCCCCCTCGGTTGAGCCTTTGGAGATCTCTTATGAATCCTCTGGCCCAGCTGAGACTGGTGACCCAGCCGCTGACGACACGGCGGCCACTCGCCACTCTCCTCGCTTGGAGACACCCCCCCCCCCCCCCCCCCCCCCCCCCCGGTTTTCCGCCTCGGCCGTCTTCGCCGCCTCCGCAGCCTGCTGATGTGGACTCTGGTGCTGTTGAGGGTGATGACACTGGGGCTGGGGCCTTTGGAGGTGCTGGTCTTGGGGGTGCTGACCCAGGTGCTGAGCCTAGGGGTGCTGAGACTGGGGGTGCTGACTCTGGGGGTGCAGCGAGTCGTAGTGGTGGTGGAGCCGTGGGTGCTCCTGTTGGAGGTCCTGGAGTTGAACTGCCGCATCTGCCTAGTCGACTCGAGACGCTCTCTCCGCAACAGATTCGTGAGTGGATCGTTCAGCGAGGTCGTCCTGGTGGTGGAGGGTATGGTGTTACAGCTTCTGGAGCTTCTAGTGCTGGAGGTGCTGGAGGAGCTGCTTGTGATGGAGGTGCTAGAGCTACTAGTCCTGTAGGTGCTGCTGGTGCTGGAGGTGCTGGAGCTATTAGTCCTGGAGGTACTGCTGGTGCTGGCGGTTCTGGAGGTGCTGCTGGTGCTGGAGGTGCTGGAGCTGCTAGTCCTGGAGGCACATCTGGTGCTGGAGGTGCTGCTGGTGCTGAAGGTGCTGGAGGTGCTCTTGGAGGTGCTGGGGGTACTAGAGCTGCTGGCACTGGAGGTGCTGGTGCTACTGGTGCTGGAGGTGCTGCTGGTGCTGGAGACGCTGGAGCTGGAGGTACTAGATGTGCTGGAGGTACTGGTGCTGCTGACGGCATGGGTACTGCGCCGCGCCGACCGTTTTTCTACCCGCAGCCGCTGTCGACCCTGCCACCGCCTGACTCAACCCTTCGCCAGGTTCTTAGTCTCCCGTCTTACACAGGCCTCACTCCAACTCTCCTGTATCCACCGACAGACCAGTCTCAGCCACAGCTACTGCCTGGATCCCCGCTCCCTACACCTGCTCCTCACACTGAGGTGACTGAGTCCCTAACTGAGCGTCAGGAGCCTGAGACTCGTGCTTCCATACCTGTTCGTGCTCGTCGTGTAGCCCGTTCTCGTCCTCCTGTTGTCCCAGGCACTCACATTATGGCACTTCGTCCTTCCTCTGTTCCACAAGGTGTTGCCCTGCCGTCTCCTCCGGCGTCCTCTCTTCCTGACGGTCCTGACCCTAAGTCAGACCTTGCTCGTGCTGTCAGTCCTATTGTCACTCATCTCCTCGCTATTGTCGTCACTGACCCTGACTTTGAGTCTACTGCTGCGTTTTCCCTAGTCACTGAGCTAGTCGACTTTGCTGCTAGGAGTCGTCTCGACTACGTCGCGAGTCTTTTGACTGGGTCTGAGTCTGTCTGTCCTCCATCCGTCGGGGGTGAGCCTGCCCTTAGCAGTGACGTCCTTGAGGACAGACAGTTTGAGCTTGAGTGTCTTGCGGCCGCTTTACCTCGTTTCGCATCCATGCTGCTTTGCCCTGAGGGAGACCCGGGTGCACTTGACATCCCTACCCCGCGCTCTTACGCTGAGGCGATCGCGGGTGAGTACTCCTCTCGGTGTACTGGACGCAGAGATGGCTTCCTGGAAGTCCACAGGCACCTACGTCGACGAGGTTCCTCCTCCTGGGGCGAACATAGTCGATGGCATGTGGATTTTCAGAGTGAAGCGGCCGTCGGGTTCTCCGCCTGCCTTCAAGGCGCGTTACGTTGCTCGAGGCTTTAGTCGGCGACAGGGGGTCGACTTCTTCCAGACCTTCTCCCCCACAGCGAAGATGACTACTCTTCAGGTGTTGCTGCATGTTGCAACACAGCGTGACTACGAGCTACACTCCCTCGACTTCTCCAAAGTTTTCTTGCAGGGCAGCCTTGACAAGGAGATCTGGCTGCGTCACCCACCTGGCTTCATTGGGTCGTTTCCTGCGGGTACCCAGTGGAGCCTCTGGCGGCCAGTCTACGGTCTCCGCCAGGCGCCCTGCGAGTGGCACGACACACTGAGGACGACCCTTGCGGCTCTTGGGTTTGCTCCTTCCTCTGCTGACCCGTCGTTGTTTCTACGCACCGACACTACCCTGCCACCGTTCTACGTTCTCGTGTACGTCGACGACTTGGTTTTTGCTACTGCTGACACTGAGGCACTAGCCCTAGTGAAGGCGGAGCTGCAGGAGAGACACACTTGCACTGACCTGGGTGAGCTGCGGAGCTATCTTGGCTTGCAGATCACCCGGGACAAAGCATGGCGCACCATCACCCTGACTCAGTCACACATGGTGCACCAGGTCCTTCAGCGCTTCGGCTTCCAGTACTCTTCGCCACAGCCCACTCCTCTGCCTACTGGCCAATCGCTCTCAGCTCCACCTTCGGACGAGTCCGTAGAGCCAAGTGGTCCGTATCCAGAGCTTATGGGTTGCCTCATGTACCTGATGACGTGCACACGACATGACCTTGCGTACCCTCTCAGCCTCCTGGCTCGCTACGTGGCTCCCGGTAGATACCGAAAGGTGCACTGGGATGCTGCGAAGAGGGTACTGCGTTACTTGTGCAGTACATCGGGCATGGGGCTCGTGCTTGGAGGACGTGGTTCAGTGGTACTCACTGGACACTCCAACGGTTCTTGGGCCGACGACCAGGCGACTCAGCGTTCATCACAAGGTTACACCTTTAGTCGTGGAGGTCCACTCGTTCTTCTTCTGTGCTTGGTTCCAGCTATGAGGCCGAGATCTACGCTGGGGCTATGGATGCGCAGGAGCTACGCTGGGTGACCTACCTGGTGACCAACTTGGGGGAGCGGCCTCGTTCTCCTCCAGTTCTGTACGTCGACAACAAGGCCATGCTTGCCTTGTGTCAGGAGCAGAGATTGGAGCACAGGACGAAGCACATTGCTCTTCGCTACTTCCTTGCTCGAGAGCTGCAGCAGCGTGGTCAGCTCCGCCTTTCCTACGTGGCCTCTCGGGCCAAGACTGCTGATGTCTTCACCAAGGCCCTTGGGTCTGGTGATCCTCACCGTTTCTGCAATGCTCTTGGGCTTCTGCCCACTCTACCTCACCTGCTGGTTGCTTGACTTGCCTTGTACTATGGTCTCTATATATATACCTGCATGCTTGCTCTTGCTAGGTTGTGATCACTGTACTGCATGTGTTTTTATAACTCTGCATGTGAACAGGCCTTGTGGCCACTTGCTTGTGCTCAGACTGCATGGTGATCTTGAGATCCACCCTGGGCTTTGCTTTGTTTGCTTCTCCTGACTGGTCTTGTGACCACTGTTTGGTTTGGCTATCCCCTACTTCACCTATGGGGGTGTGTCAAAACATTATATGCTTTCTATATTTCTAGGCTATGGAGGGGTTATCCTTAGAGGGTACACAACATTTCTCGACACTCTTGTATACCCCCCCTTACCTAATAGACCATCCTTCTCACTAGACTCTAACAGGAATGACCGTCTTACGACAAATTAGCTAGCAATTGCGTCGTTCAGCAAGATTCCACTTGATGACTTTTGATTTATTGGTACATGCGTCTTCCGCACAACCCCATGGGAGGCAATGAGGGGGGTGCTCATCAGAAGGAGCCTTTACCGCTCTTGAAAGCATTAGGAACATAGATGCGCAGAGTTCATGTTGTACACATCCTTGGAAGATTCTTATGCAGACATCTAATGTAATCTATACAATAATGAGATGATATGCGCTTACCGGACAAGTTTATTTGCAACACCCCCCCCCTCTCCTCCCCTTTCCCCCTTCCCCTTGCTAACCGAGTTGTCACAGCGTGGTGAACAGGCCCTACTGAAGACCGTGTCTAACCTGTTTGGAATAGAGCAGAAACGCACTTCCACATAATTTGATGGAACAATTCATGGAATCATGGGGGATGGGTGGTGTGGCGGTGCTGCTGGATGTGTGAAGCAATCAATCAACAAACATAGCATCGTAGAAATCTAGGACGTGGGAATAGTTTCTTCGTCCCGAATTTAGTCAGCGGGATGGCCGTTGGCTGATGTCAGAGAGTTTCCTTACGATGATACATTTTAGGCTCTTGGTCCAGTACTTGCATTTTCATTAATTGTAGTCCAAGACTCCTGGTCCCCCTCACTCTTCCTGCAGCACTAGAGTAGTTCATGCATGCACCACCCAGGCTACTAGGCTATTCTAGTCGCTAACGTTTGCGTCAATTTCCGCCTGGAGGTAGTACAACCGTCTTTTGTTTTGAGACATTTCTTTAAGGCATTTCTGTTCTCATCGGCAGCCTTACGTCGGCAGCCTTATGATTAGATTGGCTCCTCCGCGTAACCCGATTAGACGAATGTTTTGTAGTTCGGCCGAAGCAGCCGAATCCCAATCCCACATCTCCCGTCCATATTTAGGAAAATGAAGAGCTACTCGATTGTCGCACATCGTTATGTTTATTCGCTGGGAATCGCATCGTCATTCCGAAATGATCATGCGACGTGAATTTCCACATTCGCGGATGCTTCGTCACTCGCCTTAGTTAAAGCAGCTATTTCATCTGAGCCTTTGCTACCTCCGTGATGGCGGCTGCATGGTGGATCGTCAGAATGCTGCCAATCCTCCTGGCATGCCTCTTAGGGCTAGCCGGCTTCATGTCCGTTACCGTCTACGTTATCGTCTTATGGCTCCGCCGAAAGGACTCAGAAGAGGTACTACGCACGGCTTTCTCACGACTACGGTCTTGCCATTTCCCTCATTCACTGAATGTTCACTGAGAGTTCCTTAGTAACTGGAAGTTCCCCCACGCACTTCCATTTCCCAAATTCCTTACAATTCCCCCATTCACTATCATCTTCCCGTCTCCCTGACATGCTCACCTTCCCCTGACATTCCCCTCTCTGATTTTTTATTTACATTCTGACATCTCCACTTAGCTCTCAAATCCCCAAGGAGCATTGAACCCGACTTAAGAGCCTCCCTCTCGCTCGCCTTCCCCGTCGTTGCCCCACAGATCGCCAAGGAGCTGATTGTGCGAGCCAAGGCCAGTCTACGTGGCGCAACGCCAGCTGACGTGGCAGCTGGCGTGGCGCAGCTCTCCGCCGCAGTGGACCGCGCGCCGTGGCTGGCGGCGTTGCTGCAGGAGATCCGCGCGCGCGCGTTGATGCGCCTGCAGCGGTACGAGGAGGTGGTGGCGGTGCTGGCGGAGTATCTTCCGGATTTATCTACAGCGCACAACACCATGCACTACAGTGAGTTTGTGGGGTTGATTATAGCGGGTACAGGCGATGGTGTAGGGAAGGAAGTGCGCTGATGCGCCTGCAGCGGTGATGGCGGAATACCTGCCGGATCTCTCCACTGTGCACAACGCCATGCACTACAGTGAGTTCGTGGGGTTGTTTATATCGAGTACAGGCGGAGATGTGAGGAAGGGAGTGCGCCGATGTGCCTGCAGCGGTACGAGGAGGTGGTGGCGGTGATGGCGGAATACCTGCCGGACCTGTCTACTGTGCACAACGCCATGCACTACAGTGAGTTGTGGTTCGTTCTTTTTAGCGAGTACAGACAGGCGAAGACGCTAGAAACGCCCATGATGCGCCTCCTGCAGCGCTCAAAAGAGGTGTGCATTGGTGAGGAACGGCTATAATTCGCCTCTCTTGTTCCCTTCCCTCTGTCTCTCTCCCTCCCTCTCTCGCCACCTCTCCCCTTCTCTTCTTCTCCTCCTGACAGCGGAGGACGAGAACAAGACAGCCACGGACATGTGGCACTGTCTGCTACTGGGGCAGGCCACCTACCACCTGGGATGGCTGGACGAGGCGCTCGTGCTGCTCAGACGCGCCAAGAGGCTCAGCCAGGCTGTAGCGCGGTGAGTCATGAGACTGGCTGTAGCATGGCGAGTCACTTGACAGGCTGTAGCGTGCGAAACTGGCTGTAGGGCGTGGCGGGTCACAACTCTGGCTGTTGTGTGGGGAGTCATAAGTCTGGCTGTAGCGCAGTGATTAAGCTTGGTGAATCATGGGTCGTGACGAGTTTTTGTCCTCAGCATCAGCATTTGCCCCTGTCGTCCCCCTCTTGCTCACTAACACACTCTCTCCTCCCTCCCTTTCCTCCTCGCCCCCCCTTCTCCCCGTGCTTCAACATGCCTCTTTCCCTCACCCCAGCAAGGAGAGTGCGATGATGGACGAGGACCAATTCCCAGTGTTCGACGCCTCCCACCCCGCAGCCATGGCGCCCCTCTCCGCGTCCTCATCAGCGGGGGAGACCCTCAACCGCCTCATCCTCGTCATCCGCTTCCTGCTCTGGCGCCGCTCTGCCGGCGACGCTGCGTTTGCTGCCGGGCTCTACCCGGAGGCTGTCCGGCACTACTCCAAAGGTGTGTGTGAGGGTGTGTTTGCGAGTGAGCGCGCATGCATGTGTGCGTGCGTGTGCATGGGAGTGCGCCTGTGGGAGTGGCTGCTGCATCAGACCCTCAACCGCCTCATCCTCGTCATCCGCTTCCTGCTCTGGCGCCGCTCCGCTGACGACGCTGCCTTTGCTGCCGGGCTCTACCCCGAGGCTGTCAGGCACTACTCCAAAGGTGAGATCTTATCACGGGTGTGTGCTTGTGGGTGGCTTTGAGCGTGTGAGAATGAGGGTGTGTTGTCTGTGTGTGTGTCCGTTCATGTGCCTGAAGCAAATTCGTCCTTTCTACTTTTCTCCCTCACTCCCCTTCCCCCTTCGCGTCCCCCAAAACCATTCTCCTCCCCTCCTGCAAAGTTCTCGAGTCCAAGAAGGGCATTCCCCAATCCCTAGCTGCCTATCTCTTCCTCCATCAAGCATCAGCTTTTCTCTCTTGAACTCTTTCTAACCCCCCTCTTCAACCCCCCCGGTGCAGTTCTCGAGTCCAAGAAGGGCATTCCTCAGTCACTAGCCGCCTCTCTCTTCCTCCGCCGAGCCGCAGCCTTCCAAGCCTCCAGCCGCATCGCCGATGCTATCGCCGACTGCTCCCGAGCCTCAGCCCTGGAGCCTCACCGAGCCGACGCGCTCTGGTGCCGAGCCTGCCTCTACCAGTCCGTCGGCTGCTTCCAGGAAGCTTCCCAAGACCTGGAGCGGCTCCTTTCGTTCTATCAGGAATTGCTGGCGTCAGCAGGAGGAGGGAGGGACCTGTGGTTACGGTTACAGATCAGCTGCGGGTTCTGTGCTGCTTGCTTCTTTGACGAAGCTGTAAGCGGGGCAGCAAGGGCAGGGTCAGGGGCCGGGGCGGGGGCAGGGGCCGGGGTAGGGGCGCGGAGTGCAGGGGAAGCAGGGGAGCAAGTGGGGGCGGTGGTGGGGAAGAAGGGGGGGACCGGGAGGTGTACGCTGTGTGGGAGAGTGAGGTCTGCGAGACTGGGCGCAGGAGACTCAGGGCTGGTTGCTGCTTTGGAGCTAGGGCTTGGAGGGGAGAAGCGGAAGTTTGTCGGCAGGCAGAGGGGCCTTAGGCGGTGGTTTGCCAATGCGGTTGTGCACGTTGGGAGGTGGTTGGTGGCGGTGGGGAGGGTGTTGGGAGTGGTGGCGCAGGAGGAGGAGGACGAGGCGGGGTGGTGGCGGGAGCAGACGAATATGGAAGTTGCCGAGAAGCATCTCACGTGGGAGCACGTGCGGCGGGTGAAGGCTAAGTTGGAGAGAGTACGGGCAGAGGGGGCAGCAGCTGAAGCAGCAGCAGCGACGGCGGCGGCGGCTGCGGCGGCAGCAGGGGCGGATAGTCATGGAGAGGGAGCGGTGGGGGAGGGAGGTGAGGGGAGGGAGGGAGGGAGTGACTGGAGGGGTGTGAGGGATGTGAGGGATGTGGCAGTTAGTCAGCGCAGACTGATGGACCATGCTCGCATCTTAGGCCTCTCCACCTCCACTGCTGCGTCTATAGGCGCTCTCTCCTCCTCCCTCGCCCGCTCACTCTCCATCACAAGAGGAGCAGCAGCAGGAGGAGGAGGAGGAGGAGGAGGAGGAGGTGAGGGCGCTGGTGGAGGGTTGGGTAGTGCCCCGTCCTCTCTGCCTCAATCCCCCAGCTATTCCCAGCAGCAGGAGCAGCGGGAACAGCGGGAGCAGCAGCGGGAGCAACAGAGGGAGGCACTACGGGAAGGGCTAGCAGCGTCCCTAGCTCTAGCTGCCTACCGCATTGCCCTCATCCGTAACTCAGAAGCCCGCGCCCTCACGTTCGTTGAGAAGTGTGCTATCAGGGACGGGCGGAGCTCTGAAGAAGTGAAAGACGAGGTGATGCATGAATGGGCGAGACTGGATGGCGTGTTACAGGAGGCTTACGCACAGCTGATACAGGCCACGGGAGGGAACAAGGACTCTGCTGCTGCTGCCGCTGCTGCTCTGCAGGTTCATGACTTAGACGATATGGATGGGGAGGATGGGGAAGGGGAGGGGGACGGGGATGAGGATGGGGGAGCGGAGTGGGGGGAAGGAGAGGGGGAAGGGGAAGGGGGGGATGCGGAGGGCCGGATGCGGAGACGGGGGGAGAGAAGGAAGCTGTTTGGAAGGAGGCTGCCTGGGACGCCGAGTTTTAATCTGAGGAGAGGTGGGGATGAGATGGATGTTGGGCGGATGCTGAGGGGGAAGTCTAAGGTGTGGGAGAGGGGTTCGGGAAAGAGAGGAGGGAGGGAGGAGATGGAGGGGAAAGGGGAAGGCGGGGATTGGTGGAGGAAAGGGAGGAGGGATAAGAAGATGAGGGATGAGCGGGGGTGGAGGGAGAGGGAGGAGAGGAGGGAGCGGGAGCAGGATTCAATGGGTATGAGCCCGAAGCTGCACTCGTTTCGGATGGAGAGATGGGTGGAGGAAGGGGCATCGATGGATGGAATGCGGTTGGATTCGTTTGACTTCGGTGTGGTTGGGGATGTGTTTGGAGGGTTGGGGAGCAGGATGAAGATCTGGAAGAAAAAGGAGGGGGTGCGGACGGGTGGTGGGAAGGAAAAGGAAGGGAGAGAGGAGGAGAAGGAGGAGAAGGGGGAAAAGGGGAGGGAGAAGGAGAGGGAGAAGGAGAAAGAGAGAAGGAGGAGGAAGAAATTGGGGGTCGGAGATTTGCTTGCGGAGGACGAGGATGATGAGGTGGAGCAACGGTCCAGATTCGGTTTCGGGGTGCTGGCGTGGGAAAGAGAGAAGGATAAGGAGAGGGAGCGGGAGAAGGAGAGAGAGCGGATGGAGCGAGAGCGGGAGAAAGCAGAAAGGGAGAGGGAGAAGGAGAAGGAACGGGCGGAGAGGGAGCGAGAAAAGGAGCGGGAGAGGGCTGAGAGAGAGAAGGAGAAGGCAGAGAGGGAAAGGGAGAGGCAGGAACGGAAGGAGAGGGAGCGGGAGGAGCGGGAGGAGAAGCGGGAGCGAGAGCGGGCTGTGAAAAAGGAGAAGGAGAGAGAGCGGCGGGAGAGGAGGGAGAGGAGGAAGAAGCTGCAGGGGTCGGCAGAAGATTTACCGGGGGAATTCAAGGAGGAAGTGGAAGGGAAGGAGAGAGCGAGGGAGAGGGAAGAAGACCGTCCGGATACAGCAGGGGCTGTCGTGCAGAGAGCAGGGGAAGGGGGCGGTGAGCGAGAGAGTAGGGTTAGGGGCAGGGTGGCGAGTACGGGCAGGGAGAGTGATAGTGAGGGTGAGTATGAGCGGGAGCAGTGGCACCCTAGCGGAGGTGATTATAACGAAGGGGCTGACTCTTTTGTGGATCGGTTGGTTGTGCATGAGGGGGGTAAAACGGGGGGAGAGAGTGACACTGAGTGGGGGAAAATGCGGGAGTGGGGGAGGATGCGGAAGTGGGGACGGAAGAGGAGGGGAGGGGCGGCGGGAGGGGGGAGGAGGGAGAGTGATAGTGAGAGTGACGCAGAAAGTGATAGGAGGTTCAGGGGCGGGAGTGGGGAGTGGCTTAGAGGCACAGCCAGTGCAGGTGTGGGAGGGGGAGGGGTGGGAGGAGGAGGGAGTGAGAGTGATAGTGATCGTGAAGGGGCTAGTGAGAGTGAGAGGATAAATGAGCTGATTATGGGGGAGGGGCCGCTTGGAGGGGCGTTGACAGGGGAGGGCCGGTTGGGGGGGCTGTCAGGAGTGGGAGCGGCAGGAGGAGAAGCAGGATCAGGCGGAGCAGGAGGGGCCGCTGGAGGCGCATTAGCAGGAGGAGGAGGAACAGCAGCAGGTGACGTGGCAGGGGGTTCGGGCTCATTCCCCTCCTTCCCTTCTCTCTCCGATACGCTGACGTCAACAGGGCAGAGCGAGGAAGCTTCCTTTGCAACTTCTGAAACGTCAAGCCTCGGGGGTGTGGAGGAGGAAGGGGAGGGAGAGCAGGCGGAGTTTCCCTTGGGAAGTGAGATGGGGGAGAAAGGAAGGGCAGACAAGGGAAGGACAGAGAAGGTGGGAGAATCAGCAGGAGATCAGGAACAGCAGGGGATGGAGCATTCGGCAGCTGCGGCAGCAGGGGCAGGAGGGGGTGGTATGGGCCGTGCAGCTTCATTCTCATTCTACAACCAGGTCCCAATCACACCAGGCCATTCCACCACTCCACCTGCTGCCGCTGCCGTTGCCACAGCAGCTGCCGCTGCTGTGGCTACTGGATCTTCCATAGGTCACGCTATCCCTGCCTTGTCCCATTCCTCCTCTTCTTCCTCCTCCCCGTTAATCTCTCTTTCCTCTCTTCCATTTGCCGGCACTCCTTCCTCTGCCACCTACACTCCTTCCGGCCCTTCTTCTGCTGCTCCCACCACACTAGAACGGCTGCTGATTGGTAAGCCTTCGACTCCACCTTCCCGCACGCTTTCGTCCTCCATTCCGTCCTCTGTATTGGCTGCTTCGTTATCAGGCAGCCCGATGGGAGGGAAGAAAGAAAAGGAGGAAGGGTTCACGCCTAAGTGGGGTCCGTCCTCCTGGACACGTGGGGGGCGGGAGAAGGATAAGGAGAGGGATAGGGAGAAGGGCGGGAGGGAGAAGGTGAAGGAGAAAGATAGGGAGAAGGGAGGGCGGGAGAAGGAGAGAGAGAGAGGCGAGGAGAAGGGAGGGCGGGCGTGGGAGAGGGGGAGGGATGGGAGTGTGGGGAGGGAACGTGGAGGGGAGGAAGGAGGGGGAGAGGAGAAGAGGGAGCATAAGGAGAGGGAGAGAGGAGGAGGAGAAGGGTTACAAAGGCAAGACAGCCAAGAGGCAGACACTGGTAGTGAAACTGGTGCTGCTGGTGCCTCCTTTGCTGCCGTTGCTGATGGTGCTGCCAGTGTTGGTGGTGCTGCCGGTGTTGCAGCTGGAGGTGGTGGTGGTGCTGCTGCTGGTGCTGCTGCTGGTGCTGCTGCAGCAGCATTGTCCTTCACTGATGATGCGCCAATTCCATCCAATCCACGATCCCGTTCGGCGATGGAGGAAGAATTGAAGCATAAAGGGGCCGCAGCTGCAGCAGCAGCAGCAGCAGGAGGAGGAGGAGCAGGAGGAGAAGGGGGAATAGGAGAAACGGGAGGAACCATGAGGCGCAGTAAGAGTGCTAAGGGCGTTGGTCCCGGTGGTGCTAGTGGTGGTAGTGGTAGTAGTGGAGGGGCGGCTGGTGGAGGGGGGGGTAGTACCAGTGCGGGTGGGAGTGGGGGAGGTGGTATTGGGAGCAGTTTCTTTGAAGCTGCACAGAAGGGCGCGGGTGCGGGAATAGGGCTGGGTGTGGGGGCATTGCAGTCTGTAGGAGCGCTCAAGTTTCGACGGAAAGTGGATGAGAAAGGGGAGGGGAGAGCAGGGGAGGAAGGTGGGAGAGAGGGAGGAGAGGGTGGGAGGGAGGGGCGAGAAGGGAAGGGTAGGCGGGAAGGGAAGGAGGGGAGGGTTCAGAGGGAGGTGGGCGAGGGGATGGAAGGGGAGGAGGAGGAGGAGAAGAGGAAGAGTGAGAAGAAGGGCGAGAAGAAGAGACATGGGAATGTGTTCAAGATAGGGGGGTTACTGGGAGTAGGAGGGAGTGGGGGGGGAAGCAGCCTTGGTAGTGGCAATACGGGTAACAGCAACAACAGCAACAGCACTGGCGGTGCTGGTGACGTGGCTGCAGTCTCCCCAACAGCTGCCGCCTCAGCGTCTGTCTTTGCCATGTCAGCGCAGACATCGGCCTCTTGGGAAGGTTCCGGGCAGGAACTGGGCGTTCTTAGCCCCCACGAAGCTCCTCTTACTGCCACGTCAGCAGCATTCGCAGCAACAGCAGCAGCAGCAGCAGCAGGGGGTTCACATATGCAATCAGGCGAGTCAACTGGGCTAGGAGCAGCAGCAGTACCCCTCCTCTTAGCCGAGCCCGGGGCAGGCTTATCTGGAGCAGGCTTGGCCGGGGAGGGCTTAACTGTAGGTGCAGTAACCAATCCCGAAATCTCTCTAAAGCCAGGATTGTTGGCATTGGCGACAGGGGCAGGGAGGGGAGGGCTCGGGGCCGGGCTTTTGCATGAGCAAGGGGGAAGGGTTAAAGAGCGGGAACGGGATAGTAGTCCTCCCAAGCCCAGTCCCCACAGGGGAAATATCTTCTCAGTGCCTGGGATTAGACTAAGAAAGGACCCGAATAGAGAGAGGGACAAGGAGAGGGAGAGTGGGGGTAAAGGAGAGGGTGGTCGGGAGGGGGGTAAGGAGGGCGGGGAACGGGACAGGCCTCTCGTTACTGTGGCTATGAATTTGGTTCGGATGGAAGGGTTGGGAAGGAAGGGGCCGAGCAAGTCTGGGCCGATACTGCTGGGCCCGTATGGGTCTTCTGCTGCAGCTGTAGCTGCTGTAGCACCATCTGTAGCGCCAGCATCAGCACCAGCGCTGGAACCTGCAGGGTCAGTTTCGTCTCCCCATGCCGCAGCATCAGCAGCAGGAGCCCTAGGTAGTTCAAGCCAGGAGGACAGCTCAAGTGAAGGCAATAGGCTGGGCGGTGATTCTTCTGCTGCTGGTGCTGTGGATGGTGCTGGTGTGGTTGGTGTTGCTGGTACTGCTACCGCTGCTGCTGCTGCTGCTGCTGCTGCTGCTGCTGCTGCTGCTGCTGCTAGTGGTGGGGTTGATCACCTGACTATTAGAACTGGTAGCGGCAAGTTACAGCCTGTTCTTCGAGCCATGGCTGCTGCTGGTGCTGGTCCTGCTAGTGCTGGTGCTGCTGCTGGGGCTGCAACCACTGCAGGTAGGAATGCTGAGGATATGCACGATTCTGCTGTTGCTGCTGCTGTAGCAGGGGGGAGACAAGCAGCAGGAGGCACAACAGAAGCAGCTTCAGGGGAAAATGCAACGCTCCCCACCGCTCCGCACACCCTGCGGGCGAGCAGAAGCAGCAGCTTCGGCAGCTATCACCACAGCAACAGCAGCGGCCGCAGTGCCAGCTTAGGCAGCAGCGCCAGCTTCAGAAACGCTATGTTTGGTGGCCCAACTTCAGCAGGAGCAGCAGCAGGAGGAGCAGGAGGAGGAGGGGGAGGTGTGGAAGGAGATTGGGGGGGTGTGGGGGCCGGAGTAGGAGCAGTGGCTTCTTCACCTGGAGGGGGGCTAGAACAGACAAGTGATCCTACACTTTGGCTTCCAGTGCTGCCCCACGCTGACCATTTTGGTACCGTTTCTGCCGCTGGTACTCCAGGTGCTTCGCCAGGTGGTTTCTCAGGTGAATTCAACACAATTATGTCCCCGACCATGCCACCTGAGCCACACTCCAGCCACCCCCACTCCCTCAATCCCCCACTTCCGGAAGTAGAGGAGGGGGATGAGGAGGGGGCGATAGGGGGGGAGGGGGAGGAGGGGGAAGAGTGTGGGGAGGGCGAGGGGGGGGAGGCGGCAACACCGAGTGCAGTGGAAGGGAGGGGTGCAAAGAAGATGGTGGCGCAGGCTGTGTTGGGGGGCCTCAAGAAGGGGTTGAGAACAGGGTCGCAGCTGGGAAAGAAGATTGCTGCTGCTACTATGAGCCCCCAGAGGTGAGTTTAGGGTCAACTCAATCAAACGGGGTGCACAGAAGTAGATGATAGAGCTCAGCCTCTCAGGCGTTGTTGGGGATTTTTGAGTCGACTCAAAAATCGCCTTAGGCGTTGTTGGGGAGCCTCAAGAACGGGTTGAGCACAAAAGGTGGGAGGGGCTCGAGTCAAGAAGGGTCTAAGGACAGGGTCTCAGCTGGGAAAGAAGCTTGCTGCTGCCACTATGAGCCCGCAGAGGTGAGTTTTGAGTCAAACCCTAAATGAAATCGCTGCCGCATGGTGGCACATGCTGTGTGGGGAGGGAGGGCTCAAGAAAGGGCTGAGGACGGGGTCTCAGTTGGGAAAGAAGCTCGCTGCTGCCACCATGAGCCATCAGAGGTGAGGGCAGTGGGTGTGCATGCTCATGTGCGTGCGGGTGCGTGTATGATGTGTGTGTGTTTGTGTGCTCTGGGATGTAAGGTGTTTGTTCTGTGAGAGGGCTCAAGAAGGGGTTGAGGACAGGGTCGCCGCTGGGAAAGAAGCTTGCTGCTGCCACTATGAGAAGTCAGAGGTGAGTTGACTTGATGAACAGCAAAATTGCCGTGTAAAAGAAGGTCTGTTTTGCAATACCCGAAATCATGTTCTCCTCCTTGCCTCCTGACCCCTCAGGGCTCTCGCGACAGCCATCACCAAGGAGGTAGACCTGATGAACACCAAGATCGCAGCCACCATTCGCAGCAGAGCTGGCTCGTCCATACCCACCCCCCTCACATTCCCCTTCTCCTCCCCCGTTTCCTCATATCCCCCTTCCCTCGCAACCCTACAGGGCCCTCGCGACAGCGATCACCAAGGAGGTGGACCCATGAACACCAAGATCACCATGTTGTTCTGCAATGCCCCAAATCGCATCCACCCCGCACCCATCCACCCTCTTGCTTGCAGGGCCCTCGCGACAGCGATCACCAAGGAGGTAGACCTGATGAACACCAAGATCGCAGCCACCATTCGCAGCAGAGCTGGCTCGTCCATTGCCCCCACCGCCCCCACTGCTCTCGCCCCCACCACCACCGCTGGTCTCCCCAGCAGCACTCAGAGCAGCAGCAGCAGCAGCTTCAGCAGCGGCACTGGCAGCAGTACTGTCGCTGCTAGTGCTGCTATGCTTGCCGGCAGCAACAGCAACGGTGGCAGCAGCGCTGCTAACGAGGCTTCTTCTGCAGCAGCGACAGCAGCAGCGGCTGCCGCTGCATTCTCTGCTGCTGGCAATGGCAGCGGTAGCGGTGGTAGTGGTATGATCGGTGATAGCTCTGGTGCTGGTGCTGCATTCTCAGGCCCACTGTCAGCGCCTTCCTTCCATCCGCCTCTCCCCCTGCCCTCCCCTGCTCCTGCCCCACCCTCTCCTGACTCCTCTCTCGCTGAGGCGCTGGCAGCAGCAGAGGCAGCAGCTGCAGCGTTTGAAGCAGCGAGTGCAGCAGGTGCAGCAGCAGTGGGAGATGGGGCAGCAGGAATGTCAACAGGGATGGGGCCAGGGGTGGGAGCAGGAATGTCAACAGGGATGGGGCCAGGGGTGGGAGCAGGAATGTCAACAGGCATGGTTCTAGGGGTGGGAGCAGGAATGTCAACAGGCATGGTTCTAGGGGTGGGAGCAGGAATGGGAGCAGGGATGAGAGCAGGAATGGGAGCAGGGATGGGAGCAGGGATGGGAGCAGGAGCAGCAGCAGGGTTCAAGAGGGGTGTGGATGGTGGTGGAAACGGCACCAGCAGCACTGGCGGCACTCATGTTGGCAGTGGGGATGCGAGCAGCAGTGCAGCAGCAGCAGCAGCAGACAGCAGGGACAGAGGCAGGGCCAGCAGACGCAGCGGCGGCAGTGGTGGAAGCGGGGGCAGCGGGGGCAGTGCGGGCAGTGGGAGCAGCGTTCTTGGCAGAAGCAACAGCGTTGATGGTGCTGCTGCTGGTGCTGCTGGTGGTGCTGCTGCTGGCAGTGCTGCTGCCGCTGCTGCTGCTGGCTGTGGTGCTGGCAGTGCTGCTGCAGCTGCTGCTGTTGCTGTAATGAAGCAATCCCTGTCAGGTGAAGATAGCAGGGATGGAGGAGGCATCTAACCTGCTGCTGCTGACTGCAGTGCTTGAAGTGGTGGTGCTGCTGCTGTTGCTGCTGCTGCTGCTGTTTCTGCTGTTGTCAGGTGAAGGGTGGAGGGATGGAGGAGGCATCTAACCTGCTCCAGATGTGAGTCTTGGAATCAAATCAAACTCAAGCATTCAACTGGTGAAGCCAGTGAAGCTGGTGATGATTCTTGGCTCGAGCAAGCTGCCAAATTCATCTCTCTGAAAGTACCACTACTGCTTTGTACCATATTCCTTGCAATGTTTCTTTATTATTTCTAGGACCTAATTTCTTCACTAGCATTAGAACATTAGGTCTATGTTAGCAGTAAATGCCGTTTGTACCACTTGTCAAAAGGGAAAACTACAGTATGCGTCTCTTACATGGTTAATCACATTTACCATATACAGTGCACTATACCCGTATCACCCCGGATATAAGCGCAGGTGCGCTTATAAGTAAGTCATGGGTATAAGCGCATGCGCTTGTAATAAGTAAAAAATGAATTCGGCTTTAAACTATACCAAATTGAAGCCCACAGTAAGGCGAATGCAGCCGACCATGCATCACGTGGGGTCGTGCATGAATTCCAAGCGAAAACAGCAACGCGCCTCGGTTTCCCACCCCACAATTTCGTCTAGAAGCATCGCACCTGCCAGCGATGACGCGAATCTTGCCGTGCGGCCCAATCATATCGCCATGCACTGCGTGGCATGTGAATTTCATCCGAACCCTCTCGAAGGGTGCGGAAGATTCCCTGCCAGCGCAGCGATTATGCTGCCACGCAGGGTCCTCTGCAGGTTCAGGCGGGGGTTTCCCGCCTACACCTGACGAGGACCCCGAGGCGCAAACCCAGCAGGGGTCCCCTCCGTTTCCCATTTCTGCACCCCCACATTCATTTTTTCATTCAGTTTCTTGCTCTATCGTGCCTAGCTGGCGAAGCCATGGCGGAATTCATCCGGACCCACTTCCTTTTTAAGAAGAAACCAAAGCGCCTGTGGCGATTAACCGACGACGGGTGGTATACCCGTGAGCCACCAGAGCCTCCTGATCCACCAGCGCCTCCAGCGCCTCATGCACCGCCTGCTCCTCTTGCCCCTCCTGCTTCTCCCGCTCCTCCCGCTCCTCCTGCTCCTCCCGCTCCTCCTGCACCGCCTGTTAACTGTTCTGCGTACACAGGCAAGGCCCGTGCTCCAGCTCCTGCTGCCAGCGACGTTCGACGAGTGGCTGTCTGAACCAGAGGCCGACAAGCCCGCCGATGTGTATGTCTCAGCTCCGCCGCCGGCACCACGTTGGGGACGGCCCGCAGACTGCGCATGGGACGAGTCGAATGTGAGCGCCGACGACGATGTACCCGCCGACGAGCGACCACGCGGCGACGGCGAAACGGGTGGCGAGGCTGGCGCACAGGCGGACGTGTTCCTAGAGGGCGCTGCCAGCGCTGCCAGCGCTACGGACGACGACGGCGTTGAGACATGGTGGCGCGATGCCCCACGCGAGAAGATGCCGATTCCTACCTATCCACTGATTAACAAAAAACGTCCCCGCCCCTCTGATGAGAACCGAGATGCCCACCACCCCTCCTCCAGGCATAAGCCGACACAACATAAGCGGCACTCGTACACCGCCCAGGAGAAGCTAAAGTGGCTCGTGCGCTTGGAGCTTGCAACATCGATAAGCGAGGTGGCGCGAGAGCCCGGCATCTACCGCAAGTGCCTGACCGAGTGGAAGCAGCAGGCGGACTAGCTTAAGGATGCCCACAGCGCACGGGCTTCCTGGTACCGTCCGATGGAGATAGAAGTCTACGCGCAGCTCCTCGACTGGCAGCGCCGTGGTGTTGCAGTTTCGGTCGGCCGTCTGCAAGAGTGGTCGCGAGAGGTGATGAAGTCCTCTTCCCGGAGGTGAAGTGGAAAGGGAGTCAGCTATGGTCGGAGCGATTCCGCAAGCGCTGGATTCTCAGCGTGCGCATGAAGACCAAAGTGGCGCAAAAAACTCAGGAACGTAGGTGCCTTCCTTTCTTTGGATTTCATGGAAATTATTTGGTGTTCTGATTGCCTTATAATCTGTCCGTTCATCATGTTACTAATCCGCCTTCCGCCTTGTATTTTCATCCCCTTGCGCAGACGTCGCGAGCCAGTGCAAGGAGTTCTGGACCTTCGTATGTGAAGCACGGCATGAGTATGAGACTGACGATCGCTTCATCATCAACGCCGACCAGACACCACTGTGGCTGGAGATGCCGGCGACAACCACCGTAGAGCAGACGGGCATGAAGTCGGTGCCCATCCGCAACGGTGGGTACTAGAAGTAAAGAGTCACCGTGATGCTGGCGTGCACGGCAACGGGGGAGAAGCTGAAGCCATGGGTGTTTTTCAAGCGCAAGACCGTGCCAAAGGGCGACTTCCCCAACGGTAAGATCATCGCTTTGTTTTTGGCGTGTTGTGTTTTAGAACACTAAACATTTCGACCGTCTCTTTTTTCGCAGATGTGGTGGTCGGCGTTCAAGACAACAGCTGGATGGCGGCGGAGAACGTCATCGAGTGGCTCGACAAGGCTGTGGTGCCGTTCATCAAGCCGAAGTTTGGCGTGTAGGGGTGGAGCGCTTTGCTCGTCCTCGACTCCTACCGAGGTCACCTGGCGCCCGAGGTCAAGAAGAAGTTCGCGCGGTACAACATCGTCCCAGCGGTCATCCCGGCAAGATGCACGTCAGAGGTGCAGCCCCTCGATGTGGCCATCAACAAAAGCTTCAAGGCATCGGTGCGGCAACAGTACCAGGCCTGGTTCGAGCAAGAGGGCATGAACACCTTGTCAGCCGCAGGTGAGCATCACGGTTTCGTAACCATCCGGGAGTCCCTTGGTTTCCCCCGCCCTTCAGTTCTGACGTGTTCTCCCCTTCCGTTTGATCCTCGTGCAGCCAACATCAAGAAACCGCCTCCCGCGGTCGTTCTCAAGTGGATTTCGAGGGCCTGGAAGTCCGTGCTCGCCGACCTCATCATGAAGTCGTTTTTGACGTGCGGCATTAGCAACGCACTGGACGGCAGCGAAGACAATATGGCGATGGCGCACCGGAGGAGCCAACTGACGCAGGAGGTTGATGTCGATGACGAGATCCAAGCCGATGGCTTCTTGGGCAACAACTGCCAGGAGCCTGAGTCAGACAATGAGGATTGACCTCCCTTAGGCTAGATTAGCTAGGAAACCCGGCAAATTAGAGGGTATACTTGCAGGAAAATGTGCAATTTTAATGAAATATTAGTGAAGTTAGGATGTAAGCCCTTGAGGGCCTGTAGTGAAATGTAAAATAAAAAAATAAAAATAAAAATAAAAATAAAAAAAAAAGACAAATCTTAAAAACATGAAATTCATAAGAAGGGTGTGCTTATAACAAGTAGCGAATTCTAGAAGGGTGCGCTTATAAATGAGGAACATCCATAAGTGCATTGCTCCAGATACACGCGCATGCGCTTAACATAGGCCTGCGCTTATATCCGGGGTGATACGGTAGTGTCTTAATTGATTACCAGTGGTATATTATGTCACATTGCAGCATTCTCTCTTCTATACAGGCATTGCCATGAAAAGATCTCAAACCCATAATGTCAGTCAGCATTCCCCCTGAGGAACTAAAATGGCTATCCAAAACTGAACCTCTCCTCCCATTCATTCACCTCACACACCACCCCACCACACTGCACCCCACCCCACCACACAGCGCAGCACCCCGGCCCATTGCACCAGACCTCATCCCACCACACCCTCTTTTCTCTCACCCCCCCTGCACCAGCCACCTGCCCTTATCAAACAATTCCGTCCCCGCCGGCCTCCCTCCAGGCGGCTGCCACTTCAGCTCCTTTAATGTAAAAATCATGCCTTGAGAATTCTGGCGTATTCACAACCACCCAGATCCCCCACCCACCCCACCCCCAACCTCTTTTCCCTCAAGCCCCCTGAACCAGCCACCTGCCCTTTTCAAACAGCCCTGTCCCCGCCAACCTCCCACCAGACGGCTGCCATTTCAACTCCTTCAGCGTGAAAATCCGATCCGCAAACTCCCCCCCCATCTCCTCATCTCTCACCCCCCCACAGTCCCCCACAGCAAGCTGCCTCAGCCCCGGCAGCGCCAACACCACTGCTTCTAGCGACGTCATCGTGATCAACGGACACCCTTCGATTGCCAGGCGGCCGATCCGACGGTTCGTGGCGACCGAGATCCCGGCGAGAGACGCGTCGTCCAAACCGCAGCAGTTGCGAAGGTGCAGAGCGGTGGAATTGGCGCAGACAGCGAGGAGTGCAAGGAAGAACGGCCGAGAGCGCAAGTCACAGTGAATCAGCTGGAGCGTTTCCACAGGGGAGAGGAATCCCGGGGGGGGCTGGGGAGGTCTGGGGCTCGCTTTGACGCGACTGGGCGTGTCAAGGGTGCTGGTGCTCCCAGAACCGGTTTTGATGGTTTTAGAGCGGTGCACTGCAGCTTTGACGGTGGCTAGGAAGCGATGGGAGGGGGGGAGAGAGGCATCAGACATCTCTCTCTCTAAATGCCTTCCAACCGCATCCGCACCCTCGCTCTCCTCCTCGTCACCTCCCTCCCCCTCCCCTTCCTCCTCTTGCTCCTCTCCTTCCGCTCCTTCTCCCCCTTCTCCCCCTTCTTCCCCTTCTCCCGCTCCTCCTTCCTCCCCCTCCGCTTTCCCCTCTTCTTCCTCCTCCCCTCCCTCCTCATCCTTTCCCTCCTCTTCTTCTTCCTCCTGCCCGTTCTGCTGCCCGCCCGCTCCCACCTCCTGCCGCACCCCCCCTGCCCACCCAAACGCAGCAGCACACTCGTCGGGCTCTGATTGGTGGAAATTCTCGAGCCTGAGCGTCTGCAGGTTCGGACAGAAGCAGAGCGCGCCGAGCCAATCCGGGCGAAAATATCTCCCGGATAGAGTCAGATCTGATAGCATCGGGCATTCCCTGGCCACTACAAACAAACCAGCCCGCCCAACTTCGCACCCCTTTAGCGACAGCT